ACGAATAGTAGACACACACCTAAGTATATCAATCTCTAATTGGGTCGCTGGCAAGGGAGGTAACTCCTCTAACCATCAAAAAAATAATAAGGCGCCCATAAAATCAGAGGGTTATATCTCTATACTTAGATGGGCTGTTTAGATCCAGTACTTACACTGGTGGATATAGTATTCCTTGAAGTTGTGCAGGTATTCCTGTATACTTGTAAAACAATTTATCTGGTATTGAGTCGTGATGTCCTGCCCACATTTGAAGGGGAGAGTATACTTAGCACCATCTTTAATCCATGCCACTTCCAATATGACCTGAAATCTGAAGCGTCCCCATAAGTTCAGTTCATTTTTGAGTATGTTTTTGACCAGAGATTCGATGGCGGGTATACTTTCCCTGGGCTCAATTTCCACAAACATAGTTATACCTAGGTGTGCACAGTCTCTAATTGGGGACTTATCCTGAGGAGGCGCCTACGTTCTTTTATGTAGCTTCCAATGTGGAAACAACAGTGCGTCGTCGACATCGTGGAATGTTTTAACGGCATGGTTCTCATGCCTGAGTTGTTACTTAATGTAATCGATCCTCTGAACACGTTTTTTCGCGTACTCGGATTGTGCGGCTTGTAATTTCTCAACAGCAAGGTCGTGCCGCTTACGCTCTGCCTGTATCTCAGCCGCGTGTGACTCTCGTAGTTTCGAGAAGAGGAAATTACTCCCGGAAAATGCCAGGGCATTTACTAATGCCCCACCGACCATCATGGCGATCGTAGCCATCCTATATACAGTGTACTCTGTCAATACCGGCATCAGTCGGGACCAAATAAAAATGCCGGTTTTGACAGAGTGCCGGTTTAGCTAGGTTCGCTTATGACGCCTGCGCACACGGAAGTTCACTGTCGTACTGTCACTTTAGCATTAACAAGATGTTTGAATAAGAAACAAGGCAGTGTTTGAATGCATATTCATGTTGTTTAAATCAAATAAAAATGTCTGAAATCTCTTATTAAATTTCAACTGATCATATATTATCGGCAGAATTAAAATTAAAAACTATTTTTCGCAATGTTATTGAAAACAACGATTCTTGTTTATGCTTCGGCAGCGGGTCTACAATAGCATTGTCAAAGAGCAAAGTAACAATGTTTCAAACATCGAGGAAATCATTAAATAAATTGAAATCAACAATAACATTCATAAAAGTTGTCAAACGTACATATAAAATTACTATTTCCATACTTTTGTGCGATCATGCAATGTAAGTCAAGTCGCTGACAAGTCACATCTCGGCTTTCACCGCCTCCGTCTTGACGCCCGGACACGATGCTTAATGTGAAAATATATGCATGAAGCATTTTTGTCATGGGCCATAACCTAGCACGATATGTCCAATACGTTCCATAATTTACGTATAGGTAGCAATGTCTTTCTTAATATGTTCAGAATAGCATTATTTTACCCAAAACCTTTCGTCTTAATCTAAAAGTTTTCGTTTACGAGGACGGTATCCATTTCCATAATATGATTGGCTGCTTAGGTCACGTGTCTGATTTTGACCAGTCACGACCCTTATAAGCAGAGTGTTTTCATAACAACTTGTTCGTTGGGACTGAAAAACAATGCCGATATCCTGAATAGACAGATGCCGATGTTTACAGAAGTTTCTAAATGATAATAACGTGCATTTCTGCCGGGATTGAAACTTTGTGCCGATGTAGACAGAGTGCCGGTGTTTACAGAGGCCGGTATTGACAGAGTCCACTGTATAATGACATTTACTTCATAATATTTTCCAGTAGTATCCCTTGTTTTACTAGGATGTCCTTGGTGGCCATCGCCATGCCAAGGTTCATTATGAGCATACCCATATCCTGCAGGTTGAAATCTAGCTTGATAGTTGGTTGCTTAAGCACCATTTTGGTCAACTGAGCGTTATGTATATGATATAAAAATATATATTTTATAACATGATATGTGGGTTGACCTCTAATTGCGGGGGTTCCTCCCTGGGTCTTGTATATAACCATGAGATAGCCAAGGCAGCAGTTGCGCCTGCAATCAACAAGAGTGGAGCCGGTTTCCACGTGATAATTTTATGTTGGTTACACCACCTTTTTTTACCGGCAGCTACTCTCTTAGGGTTCTTCTGCCTGGTGACTGTAGGAGGGTTCACCTCCATGGGGGTCTCCCCAATTTGGGGTTCCCCCAACTTTGGGTTCACCTCCCTGGGGGTCTCCCCCGTTTGGGGTTCCCCCAACGTTGGGGTCTCCTCCTGTGTCATTTCTTGGACAGCATCCATCTATACTATTATTATAATTTTTCCCCTCCTTAAATTGGCAATGCCACCAGTATGGGTTTAGGGGCAGTAGGTGTGGGGTTGTTGGCCACCATCATAGCCACACCCGTAGTGCTAGGCATCGAAATAACAGCTGGGATGTCAGGGTTGGCTGGATTGGTGTTTAAGTTTGTGTCACGCAGACAGCACCGGAAGGCATTGAAACACGACGAGATCAGGATTCTGGCTGAAGCAAAGCTGAACATGGTAAGTGAGCGTATTTCCAGAGCACTCACTGACAGTAAGATCTCAGAGGAGGAATCTCGCTCAATCATCTCTGAACTCGGCAAATACCGTAAGATGAAACAAGAAATCCGGCTCAAGTCTCGTAAGGCTGCTATTGGTGAAGACGAGAAAAAAAAGTACATAGAACAAGGGGTACGAAACATTAAACTGTTTCACAAGACATAGTGCCACGTGTGGGCGGGAAGTTAACCGGGGGGCTCAAAAGTAGTAGATATACTGGGGCGAGATCTAAGGGCCTGACTAAAGCTGTATTTGTGAAATAAAGCTTTGCAGAGGCTTTTGTTGGACTTGATCCCGTACCGCTATTACTACTACTACTCAACGCTAATCAGCGGTTTACACATTGTTCTATACATGTCTGACCAATGCATCAACGTGATATACGTTGCGTCATGTTATGGCCGGTGGCTTAGTCTATCTGCTACACATTAGTTATGAATAAACCTGCTTCAGCATATATTTCCAATGAAACATGTTCCTTGCGTTTAAAATGTCCATGATAAAATATGTTATCTCTGAGATTAAGGATGAAGGTCCTAAACATGAAATACGTTGCTTGCCTCTACATGTCTTATCTATTTATTCTATCTCTCTCCAAACAGCTTGTCTAACTTTCATGGTGTACAACTTGTAGACCGTACAGGCTGAATTTTATACAGCTAGACGTACATTTTTCCTACATTACCCAACGTATATCAAGTTGTTGCATTGGTTAGACATTTATAGAACAATGTGTAAACCGCTGATTAGCGTTGCGTACAATTACCTCTAAAAAAACAGCAGACGACTGTCCTAAAGCAGACGAACTTTTTCTTATTCACATCCAACCCGTGGCAGACGGGGGAACCGCTACCAGACGACGAACACCTGTGTCATCTCATTCACTCCGCTCAATTCAATACCTTCCTTTTTACCCATTGTTACCACATCTTCAGGGAGTCTTCCTCGCTCCACTGCACATTCAAGTACCTCCCTCCATTGTACATCCGCTCACGCTTCATCGATTTCCATTGAAATTGGGAGGTAACTGGTATTGTTGTCACTATAACCTATATTTTCCTCTACTGGTATTATACAGGCAGGAAATCCGATCTGGCAAAATATGGCATTATATCCGGGGTGGCATTATAACCAGGGGCAAATAACCAGGGTGCACTGTATTACCCAGTAGATAAAGCATCTATACATCTTGTTACCGATTCCCAAAGAGGAGAATTATTTTCACCTTTACGACCATCGTTCCATTGTTTAGCGAAGAAGGTCACTTCATTTTAACAACCCAACAAAAAACAGAAATGAAAATGACGTCATATATTTTCGATGTCATAACGATTTATGTATGGGTAGTGAAGACATAACGGGGTTTATGCAAGTGAAACAGTAAATTAAATCATCTGAGGTTTCCCCTAGTGTCTCAGAAACTCACATTTGCTGCATTTTCTTGGTGACAATGCTGATAAAAACACGCCTTCATCTATGGCTCTGATGACCCGTCATTCGCCAAACTTCGGGAATTATGTGTCACACTCGGAGCAGACAGTACGTCATTTCCCGAAGCTCGAGCGCTATTCTCCACATAATAATCTCCAATAATTTCCATCTGGAAATTATATGATGAAACATAGTGTTGGGGCACTTCCAGTATACTCGTACAACATGTGTTGATAGCACGCTATCAGAACGTCATTCTGCAAGATGATCTTAACGCTTCGAGTTTGTTCGTACGCTAAGTGAGTGAGTGAATTTAGTTTCACGTTGCACTCAGCAATACTCCATCTATAAGGTGGAGGTCTGTAAATAATCGAGTCTAGACCAGACAATCCAGTGATCAACAGCATGGGCATCTATCTACGCAATTGGGATACGATGAAATGTGTCAGCTAAGTCAGCGAGTCTGACCACCCGATCCCGTTAGCCTCCTGTTTCAACAAGCATGGGTTACTGAAGATCAGTTCTAATCCGGATCTTCACGGGTCTGTTCGTACGGTCACCCCAGCGTTAAGATCGATTTATTGAACGTGTTCTAGACTGACCCTTAGTCTCGGAATATATACAATTTTGAAAGTATCACATATACCCATTTAAATTGAAAAGGAGCCCGGTCGGATTCGGAGGGAATCTAGACTTGCTTTATTCAGGGTTTTAGCATTGCAGGGAGGGCTAGGCAGTAGGGAAAATAACTTGGTTCAGGGACTGTGAGACAGACTAAACGGGTTACTGATCGCCGCAAAGGAAAGGGGCGGTATTCAAACAACGCAACAGTTGTATGTATTCGATAAATACACTGACGCCATGTTAACATCGCGATCACATTCATTGAATATTCTAGTATATGGTAAATCCGTAAATTGGATGGACATTTTAACGCAAGAACTGCCCAGTTCATTGTCAGGTATAAATCATGGATATAGTACAACAGTATATTCACCTATGTCGATGTGATGACCCAGTGATAGCGGCCATATTGAACTCCAGTCCACACCCCTGTGTTGCTATCTCCTATCTCTCTGTCAAGTTGCAGATATCACTCCAGGTACAAGCACACGCCACACAGACCGCGGTAGACACAGATAGCTACATCCTGCCAACGGCTACTCAGCCTGAACGTTGAATGTCGAAAGTTCTTGTGTGGATAAAAGAGTTTTTGACAAGAAGAAATATCTTGACTCATTGTGCATTTATTGCACCTGCAGCTATCACTTGTATATCTATCACTTGTTACAGATATCCGATGCTTGCCGAGGTTATTTTTACGTTTATCAACGAGGGTTGAAATATTTGATATCAATTGACACGAGGTTGAGATTCTATTTATCATTAAAAATCACTCTTCATTAGTTTTCAATGAAAAATGTACAAAGCTCAACACGATACTGGAGGGGCGAGCTGACAAAGGAGCCAGGCGAGGGATCCAGCGGGCATGAGGTGCCGGGATCGAGCCCACCTGAAACGGGGTGTAAAAACCTTGGAGTCGACTTTGTGTACTGACTCTTTCAGTGTTGTCACAGCCCCTAGTGTACAGTACACAACCCTGTGCACTTAAAAGAACCCGCGAATCCCTTTGTACATGACTAGATGGTGGCCACGTGCTAACATCTAGTTGCGGGTCCGGCAACGTGCAGTAAACTTGGACAATATACTTTGACTATGTGTCCCAGTCCACCCAGCTGTGAATGGGTACCTCGTAAGGATTCGACAGCCGCAATAACTCGGTGCGCCTTGTGGCAGCAAGAGTTGTATACTCCCCAGGGAGTTGAGATTGATAAGATGTGCCGGTGAGATTCAGGGGCGGATACAGCTGTTTGAGAAAGGTGGGGTGGTGGTGGTGTTTGCACACTATTGAGAAAAGGAGGGGTGCACACTTCATTTTTACCCGAGTTTCAATGGTTATTTAACAAACTTTCAGCTAAAAATAGGGTGGGGTGACCCCTGCACCCCCACTCTGGATCCGCCTATGAGATTGACATCCAATGATCGAGGGAAAAAATTCCAGCGACTTGAGCAAGCACTAGTGTGTGGATATGAGCGCTATATAAATATCCAATAATTAGACTTGCAGTGCAGTGCACCAGGTTTCTGACGTCATAGCATTGTGAGTCATGTAAGTTATGACGTCAGGGCAAACAAAATAGTTTGAAATTGACCCAGCTAGCACACCCGTCCCAGACCATTTTCATCGGATGTAGCGTGCCACGTGCATGTAACATGCGATTTTTACCTGCCCTGTATCGTGTTCCTGGCTTCTCAGTTAACAGGTTACTTAAGAAATACAGTTCGCTCTACAACCATGTAGAGAGTAATAAAGCACACTTTCGGCCTGAACTATTATAGCTAAATCACGAGGACGCTTGCGGTGGTAGAGCGAACTGTATTTCTTTTCTAAGGTGCCAAATTTAATACTTTCTAATAGGGCTGGGACGGATACTCGGGTACTCGAATCCGGATCGGGTACAGCTGGATTCGAGTCCAATTCCAAGGAATCGAGTACCCGGAAAGGGTGGGAACTCTGTAATGTCAAGGGCATGTAACTCAAACCAAGAACAAAATGGACGACATGCTAAGTGTGTTTGGGCTCATTTTGAGCTTGATGCAAATGGCAAGAGAACCAAATGCCGACTCTGTGGTACCATGTTATTTATTGTGGAAGCAGTGCAAGTTCAGTGAACAAACATCTTGATCTAAAACACAACGTAAAACATAAAGGTGTTCATTACATTGTGTAACTCTAATTGCTTATTAAGTTAGTTCATTAACAGCTGTTAACATTACATTGAATTTTGTCATTTCAATTTCATGAACACATGTTCCACTGATTATCATGACAATAAGAAGAAAGTGATCAGAAATATATAGAAGCAAAATTCACTTAGATCACATATAATACCATTCAGTTAATATACATTTTATAGTTTAACAAATAATATCAGCATACAGTTATTCCAATAATGATACGCAATGTTCACTTTATATACAAATTTAGAATATTTAAATAACAATAGTTTTTGTGTGTGTTTTTTATTTAAACGTGAAAATATAGCATTTAGATATATTTCTTTATCCCTACATTCAAACAAAAGTATTTCAATGCGACTTTTAATAATCTTCTGGAAGGATAAAAATTTAATCACTCACTGTATTAGTTTGTATTGTATAATAGACTAACTCTAATGCAGCTGAGTTGCGCAACAGAGCAAAATGACCAGTCTTCCCTCATGCGAGCGAAGCATTTTGCTATGTTGCTAACTCAGTTGCATTACAGTTTGCCGGTTTGTATATCTCGTATTGACTTTTCCAGTCAGTTAAAACATCAATCAAATTTTATTCTAGGTAAGTTTACAATACATCTACATGTAAAACATTACAAGTTCAGTCAGAATATCACACCTGAAGGTAGTTGTGTACTAGTTAACAAAATAACGTGTCTTTCTCATTGACGTAACACACATTTACATCTTTGGTATTGTCCGGTTAATGGATGTTATTATTAACGACTGTAATTTATTTGCACATGAGCAATGAGTTGTCATGTCACAGTAACAGTGCGAACTAAAAGTGCCATGGAATGTAAGTAATGGTGTTACTCTTTATATTAGTTAAACAGACGTAAGTTAAATAGTCTAAGATCAGTTTCAATGTCTTATTGCCATGCTTTCAATTTTTTTATAATAATTTCTGTCAAATCGTGATTGGATATTCAGAAAGTTGACAGAGCGCTGTATTCCCTACATTTCCGGGTACTCGATTCCGATTCGGGTAAATACATGCGGGTACTCGATTCCATTTTTTCCTACCCGTCCCAGCCCTACTTTCTAAGGATAATTACGATTAATCCAAGGCAGAAAACAAACGACGGTGTCGGTGACCTAAATTAAGAATCCTCGCTCAGGGCTAACTGACGCGCTTTTCTATTGACGTGTCTGCCCCCTACGTTAAGACGAACGTTACCAGAAAAACAAAGTGCTAAACAGTTTGATGACGGTTTACGTTCGGGTTAAATATCTTCTCAAAATTATTTTAATTACGTCTATGATTAACGTAAATCGTATGGGGCAATATGAGCGTCGCATTTCTACTACCAACGTAAGTTTAGATCAGTACTTCCAGATGAAGCTGACCAGTCATGCGACATTCCAGGGATGCATTGTGGGAACGTAAACATCGCGAACGTTGTTGTGTCTCTGTTAAATTGTGAGTCGAACTGAGACATATTATCCGTCGGAAAACATAAACGTAATGTTTCCACCAGTGATGTTAGCTGCGTGAAGCAACTGCAAAACAAGAAACAGGATGCAACGAAGTACTTTACTGTAGGAGGCTGTACGAGGCGATGACAACTGGCATGCATCGTGACGTCGCTTACATTGTGACGTAATGCAAAATTGTTTCTATTACGAGGGGGCAGACTAGAATCGCCCATTGACTCCAATACTTTGTGACGTAACGCAAAAAGTGTACATTATCGTCTGATAAAGTACTGTCGGCGCCTTTGATATTTCAAAGCTAGAATTTGTCATGTAAACTGTTTTTGGTTTATGTTATTATCTGTTCTCACATTGCTCAAAGAGTAAAAAAAGATAGACACGATAGACTGTATCACTCACCTGAAGAAGAAGGTGATATCTAGAGAAATGTATGGATCCTGCACATCACTAAATGCCTTTAATAAAAAACATGAAATGTGAAACAGCTGTTTGGCAATGTTGTGTCACTAACTAAAATGTACTCCTCAAACTAAATATTGACATTTTCAACCGACGACAGCAGAATGACGTCATGATTTCCAAGGCGTAACATAAGGGCGTTATTGCAGAGTAACATAAGGGCGTTATTGCAGAGTAACATAAGGGCGTTATTGCAGAGATGGAATGTTGGATCAATTACCAGGGGGATTCAGATGACGATATGACCATGATAAGTTTTTAACATAGTTAATTTGACATGTGATTTGACAAGTATCACGGCTGTTGGATTCTGAATTGTGTCTACAATAACAGTACAGTATCAATTGAAACATTTCGTGCTGTCTGTCCTACAGCTCTGAAACTTCATCTCGATGTCAATATTTAAGCAACAATATATAAGTGAACTCGCTAGAGAGGATTGGCAGATTTGACAACTCAGCGCAGTGTCTCGCATATCAAGACGAGGTAAGTCCGTGTGGGTTCAACCCTATCTGATCATTATCATCAGAATCAGGGTGTCCCACAAGGCATCATTTTGTCTGTAACATTATTCAGTCTCAAGATCAACAGTTTATCAAATATTTTAAATGCTTCAATCGATGGATTACTTTTTTTTTCTTGTCGTCGTAAAAATATGCATACTATTGAACGGCAATTGCAGCCGTTTTTGAATATTATAAATAAATTGTGTCTTAAAAACGGCTTTAAATTTGCAAAATCAAAAACTAATTGTATACGTTTCTGCCGTAATTATAAACCCCATAAAGACCCAGAACTATTTTTAAAATGGCACTCCCATCAAAGTTGTCAAGGAGGCCAAGTTCTTGGGCCTGATTTTCGACTCCCATTTATTAATTTTTTTACGCATATCAGATACCTCAAAATAAATGCCTGAAGGTACTCGATTCATTGAAAGTCATTTTTAATTCTAAGTGGGGAGGGGATCAAGCTACCCTTCTGCATCTATATCGATCATTGGTCTGTTCGAAACTTGATTCTATTCCATTCTGCCCAAGATCTTGTTTTTGAGTCTTATAGAACTTCTCTTGTTGAAAGTCTCTACGTCCAGGCTGATGAGCCATCTTTTAGCCAGCGCCGTATAAAATCATCCTTACAGTATATAACAAAACTATATTGTAACGAGTCTAGCCCAACTGTGTCTTTAATCCTCTTTATGAGGACCTTCTCGCCTTCTCTCTTCTCCTCCTTTGCAATTGGTTAGACCACAATTTGATCTAACACTGACAGCGTTTAAGAAATCACAAAATAATGAATTACAATATAAACAAGAATATAATCAATTAAAAAGTAAATATAATACATAGAAATCCTAATATACAGATGGACCGAAGTATAGTGGTACAGTTGCT